AAAAATTTGCTCCTTAAAAAAATAATTTTCGGGGTGCCTGGGTGGCTCAGTCGGTTAAGCGACTGCCTTCGTCTCAGGTCATGATCGTGGAGTCCCAGGATCGAGTCCTGGAGATCGGGCTCCCTGCTCAGTGGGGAGTCTGCTTCTCCCTCTGGCCCTCTCCCCTCTCATGTGCTCTTTCTCTCATTCTCTCTCTCTCTCAAATAAACAAATAAAATCTTAAAAAAAAATTTTTTTTTCTCTGTCATTGATTTTTTTAGATCCTATACCAGGTTTTAGAAAGGAAAACCATGGCATGTGTGTGCATGCATAGCCATAGACCTCCACAATGAACTTGGGAAAAGAAAAAGAAAGGAGGAGAGGAAACATGTAACATTTCAGCTGGGTGGTCTGAAGACACTAGAGATTGAAAAAATATATTTAGAAGTTTAAAAATCTTTTTTTGTGAGATAATTTTCATTTGAGATCTATTTTATGTATATACAGGATGTATTACTTTTTAAAAATGGTTTAAGTTTTCCCCTAAAAATTAATAATCATACTATAAACTCTTTCTAAAGACCATTTATTGATTTGACCTTGGAAGTATATTTCCAGTTCATTGATTACTTTTTTATATTACTTATTTTAATATACTAGGTAAAATTTTGTCTCCACATCTTCAATAGTGAAGAAACAGAAATAAAAGCTATAAATGGAAAAGAACACTTCTCCAGAGTCATTTAATTCAAATTTTCCTAAGAACGTTCTTTCCTCAATTTTAATTGTCTAATAATATCCATTATTTTTCTAATGTATACAAATATTTCTATGCTACCCTAGGAGAGACTATTTCAAATATTTCTCAAACCCAGAGCATTTACTATTAAGCAAAATTTCTTATTTTCCAGATGCTTTAAAAAGGGATGATAGGGGGGTGCCTAGGTGGCTCAGTTGGTTGAGCGGCTGCCTTCAGCTTAGATCATGATCGCAGGGTCCTGTGATTGAGCCCCACATTGTGTTTCCTGCTCAGGGGGGAGTCTGCTTCTCCCTCTCCCTCTTCCTCTCCCCCACTCCTGCTTATGCTCACTCTCACTCTCTCTCTCAAATAAATAAAATCTTTAAAAAGAGGGAGGATGATAGGGGCGCCCTGGTGGCACAGTCGGTTAAGCATCCGACTCTTGATTTCAGCTCAGGTCATGATGTCAGGGTCATGGGATCCAGCCCTGCATGGGGCTCCACACTGGGCATGGAGCCTGCTTGGGATTCTCTCCCTCTCCCTCTGTTTTTCCCCTCCCTCCCCCACCTGATCATGTTCACTCTCTCTCAAAAAAAAAAAAAAAAAAGGATGATAAAAACTAAAAACTATATGTAATATATAAACCTGATGCACAAGAGGTGGATTAGGTCATAGTGTATGCCTGTTACTTTTATTTTTTATTTTTTTGCCAGCACAATTGCAAAAGTATAAAATGTCTGTGTGTGTCCATTATTGCATATGTGGTTTTAATCTATGAAAACAGGGGTGCCTAGGTAGCTCAGTCAGTTAAGTGTCCAACTCTTGTTTTCGGCTCAGGTCATGATCTCATGAGTCATGAGATCAAACGCTGGGTGGAGCTCTACACTGAGTGGTGAGTCTGCTAGTAGATTTTCTCCCTTCGCCCCTCCTCCCCTTGCATGTACACACACAAACTCTCTCTCTCAAATAAATAAATCTTTAAAATAAATCTATGAAGACGATCTAGCATCTTTTGATACTTCCACCACCAGTAATTTAAGACACTACAGAAAAGTGCCTTGCAGAATACACTGCTAGCTCATTAGCACTAAAACACTTGTTGAGTACCAAAGGTAGTACCCATTGCCCCTTTTGCATACTTTAAATTCAGTGTCCTCTTCTATTGCCTTCAAAGTACTTCTTCAAAATAACCCCATTTTACCAACTCAAGCTTATATATCACGGACACAAACACTCCTCTCCATTTGGATCTATCTTTCTCTTCAATAAACATGCTTTCCCTTCCTCAGCTCTGCTGTTCCCTCCACCAGGAATGTCATTTCCTTTATCTCTACTCTTACTGGAGCACCTCATTTCCAGAAAGCTTTTTTGAGTGTTTTGCCCATATGGTGCTCTTACTGTCAATATGTCCATACAGCATTCCATCGTTCTGATTTCTGTTAGTTTATTCTTATGTTTTTCTGTAGGCTCCACCTGCTCTTGTATTCTGAAACACATTGGAAGTTCCTCTACCAAACTTTGTTTATTCATTGTTCATTTCTGTAGGATGCAAACTTCTAGAACCATCAAGTCAATAACCAAAGTATATAAAAAAAGAAAAATAATAAAAGTTTTATTGTACAGAAACCACATTCAGAACCCCTTTTCCCTTATTTTGAAATGCAATTTCTAGGTGTTTCTCATGGTAGTTACTAACAGGGACATTATTTCAAATTTGGGTCCCCATAATATACCCCCTCTTTTCTTCCCATGGTACATGAGATACTACAGTGGTTTTCAAATTTATTTTTTTTAGGGACAGAATTTTTCTTTTCTTTTTAAGCTCATTCTTACCCAGAATTTCAAATATGTCAAAGAGATGCAAGCTGAGCACTCTTGTTAAAGAGATTGCAGTGCATAAGGGAAACGTGAGTGTCCTATCTGCCTAACCCTTCCACAGCCCCACCAGTGGCTCCTGTGGCTCCTTGGAGGAACTCTGGAGGCCCTTTGTAGAAACTGAGAAACCCTGGCCTTGGCTCTGCCATCTTGACTCTGTTCAGCTTGAGCAAGTCTCTTTCCTCAACCTTAAAAACAATGAACTTGATTGGGGCGCCTGGGTGGCTCAGTCATTAAGCCTCGGCTGTAGGCTCAGGTCACGATCCCAGAGTCCTGGGATCGAGCCCCGCATTGGGCTCCCTGCTCAGCAGGAAGCCTGCTTCTCCCTGCCCCACTCCCCCTGCTTGTGTTCCCTCTCTCGCTATGTCTCTCTCTGTCAAATAAATAAAATCTTTAAAAACAAAAAACAATGAACTTGATCTTCAGAGACCATTCATAGAAATTGCAAAGCACCACACTCAGAACAAATGAAAAAAAAAAATTCATGCCTATTTTGGTGTTCTATTGTTGTATTGGGTCATACTTTTAGATACTTTCTTAGGACAAAAACTGGTTGATGTTTGATAAAAATTAGTACTGAATGTTGGTTATAGATTTGAACTTTTTTTGTTTGTTTGTTTACCTAGATTCTGCTTTGTATTATTATCAGTAAATTTCACTTTAGAAAACTCTAGTTTGAGGTAGCATTTCAAAAAAAGAAACCAAAGTTTGTATTCAACATTCACAACTTCTAATCTTTTGTATTCCTTCAAGAAAGCAAGCAGTGTAACATAGTGTTCCTACACAGAAACAATCTGGTATAAATATCATAAATACTTGTTTTGGCGGGTGTTCATTTACAGATTGTGTGAAGAAATACACAAACTCAGTATCAGGAAAATACCATTAAAGAGTTCTATCATTCTAGTTAATAAAAAATATTGATGAACTTGGGACATTTTGACTATATTTTAAAACTATTTCTATGGGGCACTGATTCATTTGTAAATGGAAAAAGTCAGGCAAAATACCAAAACAGTAAGTACTACTTGATTCCAAGCAACCTGTTAAATAAACTGTAGCTGCTTTTAACTGCAGAGTACTTAAATCTAGCTGTCTATAATTTTTTAAGAATTCCTGGCTTCCCCAGCAGATAAACTTGACTCAGCTGTCAACATAAAAGTCCCTTACCTGTCAGTTTGGCTTAATCAAAACAGTTTTTTTATTTATTTATTTGAGACAGAGAGAATGAGAGAGCCAGAGAGCACATGAGAGGGGGGAGGGTCAGAGGGAGAAGCAGGCTCCCCGCCGAGCAGGGAGCCCCATGCGGGACTCGATCCCAGGACTCCAGGATCATGACCTGAGCCGAAGGCAGTTGCTTAACCAACTGAGCCACCCAGGCGCCCAATCAAAACAGTTTTTGATGCTACTAATCTTCTACCAAAATTTTTCATTTTACAAATTAGATTTATAACATGAAAATCTCAATTAAAAAACCCATTTAACTCATGTGTATGTGTGTATGTGTATATGTATATATATAGACATATAAATTTAGAAATATTGTTAAATAAAATTACTTCTAGTGAATTAAACTTTGCAAATAAAAGTAGTATATTTAGACAAGTTATTGAAAATTTAATTTGTTTTTACCATAGTGCCCTCATTACTAAAAGGTTACATAAAATTTTAAATACACTTAAATTAAGAATCATTCAGTCCGGGGCACCTGGGTGGCTCAGTCATTAAGCGTCTGCCTTCGGCTCAGGTCATGATCCCAGGGTCCTGGGATCGAGCCCCGCATCAGACTCCCTGCTCTGCGGGAAGTCTGCTTCTCCCTCTCCCACTCCTCCCTGCTTGTGTTCCCTCTCTTGCTGTGTCTGTCAAATAAATAAAATCTTTTTTAAAAAAAAGAATCATTCAGTCCATGCACATTTTTATTCATTCAATAAATAGTTATGTTGTACTTTGACCCAGATAGGAATTGAGTACTGAGATTTTGTTTCTGATACTCAGGAACTTGCAAACTAATGAAGATCATAATGTGGAACTACAGTATAATTATCATTTTAGTGACACAGGCCAGTGTTTTAACATACCACCTAAAGAAATGTCAAAAAGCGAATGAGGTCTGAAATGAATCAAAGGAGAACTTTTTTTGCCTGGAGAAGCAGTGAGAGACTCCTAGTCATACTTTGTTTCCCTCCTTCTGCAGAACCAACATCAGCCAGCTTTAAAAGCACTATTATTGGGGGAGGGGGGAAGCCTGGCAAGGGTGAGAATAGTGATTTTGATTTGAGAAAGCCTGAAGTAGAAGGGAAGGATAAAGAAGTAAGATAAGGGGAAAATAAAAAAAGGAACTAACATTTATGGAATACTTAGCAATTGAGTTTTTATGTCTATTATGACACTGTGTTTCTTCTTAAAGGGAACTTGCTAGAAAGCTGTTGAAACCAGTGAGGTAGAAGAAGAAGAAACTGGACAAATAAACTACAATTCTTTATCTTGGCTCTATTCAACCTTGTCCCTATTGACCAGTCTTTGAGGAAAAAGTATCTAGCACCAAACTAATAGAGAATGTCAAGTAAGATTTTCTTTCAAACTGTATTCATGTCTTGAATTTAGTAGGTCATCAATGTTTTTATTTGGTTTAATTAAGCAAAATAAGGAAAAATGAGTAAATAAAGGTAATGCTCAGAAGATATAGAATGAGTTTTTGGGCTAGAAGCCACCCATTAAGCTCTTACTATTGATAAGGCCTGCAAGAATTATAGTACAGTCATAAAAAGACACTTGAAAGTTGGTTGCATAAGCCTTTTTAGAAAAATGTTGAGTTTGGGGTCTTTAAAGAAAAGATCTCATTATTTTTCAGTAGTTCAAATACTTCAAAATAAAAACTAAAAGCAAAGCATTCTGACAGTTAAAATGTAGTTTCATTTAAAAAAAAAAAACTCTAAATTTACTATACATTTTGTTTCATTTATCTACATCAGTTCTTTATTTTATTCTCTAAATTAAATTGCCCTGAAATTTCTAGCACTAATAAAGGGGAGTCTGGGTTTTACAGTTTCTCTAAAGTTAACTATCTTAAGAGTAGAAAATCAAGGGACAGGCAATATTTTGAAGTTATGTATGTCTTCCAGAAAATCTGTATTTAGTTCATCTGTACGTTCAACTGGTGAGAATCTATTATCAATGGTACAATTTTATATTACATATAATAGAATTATAGCACATCTTGTCCGAGGAGGACGTTTCTAAAGAAAAGAGCCAGATATTTGTACTCAAGTGTAAAACTCCCTAATAGGAAATAATGTTCAAAAGTAAGGTTCAATGAGCCTTAGTGCATATTTTAAGGCTTTAAGAATTATTTAGTATTTGCTTCTATTAAGAGCTAGCTAAGTACAAGCTAACCTTAAATGTTGGTAGGAATGGAACTGCATGCTATACTAAATTAGAACTGTATTAGTTCTACTTTAAGAGGAGACTTTTTGTACCTCTCTGAATTCATGCTAGTCACATCATTATCAATAAAACAAAACTGCCCTAATTATTTTACTGTAAGCATAAATATTTTGATACGCTCCTTCCTATATTATAAAACAAAATATTAACACTATATGCTGTGAAATTCTATATTTCACCTCTCCTGGTATTCAGATTTCTCATGGAAAATGTACATATGATGTATCACATACTATTAAATTTGACATCATAAAATGAGAAAAACAGTTTTAAATTACTTCTTTATGGTTTTTAAGGACAGATTGCTGCACAAAGGGTCAGACTTTTTGTTGTTGTTAAGAGGCCAGATTAGTAAATGTTTTAGGCTTTTTGAGCCTAATGGTCTCTGTCACTACTCAGTTCTGCCATGTATCACAAAAACAGCCATAGCAATATGTAAATGAATGAGTAGTGCTATCTTTCAATAAAACTTTATTTTCAAGCAGGTCAGTAGTTGTTAAGAGGCCAGATTTGGCCTCTGGGCCATAGTTTACTGACTAGTTGTAGAACATATGAACTTTTTACATTTTCTCTGTTTAACAAAGATGATTTTTAACCACATTTCCCACTCTCTCTAGATATTATATATGATATGTATTATAATTATATATATGGTTGTTATTAATATGTTATATGTTACATATAACATTTTCATATATTGAGATTTTTAAGCATCAAATACATGGGAAAGCACTTTAAAAACTAGAAGTATTGGTTAAAGAGTACAAACTTCCAGTTGAAGATGGATAAGTTCTGGAAATTATTTTATAGCATGGTGATTACAGCTTATAATTCTGTATTATACTTGCAAGCTGCTAAATGAGTAGATCTTACATGTTTTTACCACAAAAAAAGAAATGGTAACTATGATGTGATAGAGGTGTTAGCTAATACTGCTGGTGGTAATCATTTTGCAATGTATAAATGTTTCATCTCAACATGTCTTACACCTTAAACTTATACATGTTATATGCCAATTATATCTCAATAAAGCTGGGGGGAAAGCTAGAAGTATTTCTATCTGTAAGTGAAAGGCAGTAGGACTGTAAAATGAGATGTTTAACTATTCATAGCTAAAATGGGTATTATCTACCTTCAAATGTATCAGGATGCCTTTCTAATATTATAGTGGGTGAAAATTATTTCATGTTTCTAATGTGAGGAGATTTGGAAATATCTCAATATTATAATTATAATATATCTAATAAATGTAATATATATATAATACAAAACATATAATATTTATTATTATTTATGCTCCTCTGTATAGTTTATTCTATCATAAATAGGAAATTTGTTTGGAACTAATTTGGTATATTTTCAAATACATGAAACCAATAACATTTCTTTTCCTCTACACATAAAAAATAGGAAGGTGCTAATTTTTTAAATATCCAACAATCTCACTAATTTACTATAAAACCAGTGTCACTGCCATGTGATTATTGGGTTAAGGATGTTAGGAAAGAAAGAAATGAGTTAAAGGAGTGACAGTAACAACATGGCTGACAATGGAAGTTGATGTTACCTTCACATGGAAAAGCTGAGAAAATACTAAACCTGAAATTCTCCTAGTAAATTGGGAAATGTGAGTTCTAACACAGGCTAGACAAAGGACATTCCTTTAAATTATTTTAATGTGAAGACTGTTGAGACTAAGAATTGTGAGGTATCAAATGTAGTGATCCGAAGGGATATGTGCACCCCAAAGTTTATAGCAGCAATGTCCACAATAGCCAAACTATGGAAAGAGCCAAGATGTCCATCAACAGATGAATAGATAAAGAAGATGTGGTGTATA